GCCCTGCTGCCCACACTCCTCCTCATGCACCCCAGGATCCCATTGGCCTTCTTGGCACCCAGGGCACGCTGCTGGCTCATGGGTTAACCTGTTGTCCACCAGGACACCCAGGTCCCTCTCCGCAGAGCTGCTCTCCAGCAGGTCCGTCCCAAGCCTGTACTGGTGCATGAGGTTGTTCCTCTCCAGGTGCAGGACCCTGCATTTGGCTTTGTTGAACCTCATCAGGTTCCTCTCTGCCCAGCTTTCCACCCTGTTAGGGCAGGGTGTTGGCCGAAGCAGAGCATTTGGGTGAGCAGAACAAATGGGTGAGCATTTCCTACGCTCAGCAGCTGGGGGAAGCAGGTCCGGGCTTGAAACCGGTGCGTGCAGTTGGATAGCGAGATGGTTCGTGTGAACACGTGGTTCTGGGGACCTGGCCATCCTCTGAGAGCAACCTGGAGACCACCCACTCTTGGGCTGTAAGACTGTTTTGTCTTTGCCCCGTTGACCACTTATGGCTGCTTATGAGGCTGGAAAACTGGATTCAAAAGTTTGAATGCAAGAGAGAGGCTTCTGCCCTGTTTGGACATGGGAATTGTCCAACTCCAGCCCTCGGTTACCGGTGGGCTGGCGGAGCTGTGCTGCAGGGAATCGTCTGGACCATGTGGCTGGTGGTGGATGGGGCTGATCTGCTCTCCTTCCCCTTTCCTCTCCTTTTAGGTAGGGGACCATAAATTCAGCGCTCACCGGATCGTGCTGGCGGCTTCCATCCCGTACTTCCACGCCATGTTCACCAACGACATGATGGAGTGCAAGCAGGATGAGATCGTCATGCAGGGGATGGATCCCAGGTAACGTCCCGAGGCGCGCGAGCGAGGGTATCCGGAGGGACCGCGAGTGCTCTGAGGCCATGGCCTGAAAGCCAACCCTCTGCATGAATGCTGCTAGGAAAGGTTTTTCTGGTAGAAGTGTCCCGTGCTAGGTTAATTGTTAACAAATTCTGCCCTCTCTCCCCCTTGTTCAGTGCACTTGAGGCTCTGATCAACTTTGCCTACAACGGTCACCTGGCCATCGATCAGCAGAACGTCCAGTCTCTGCTGATGGGGGCAAGTTTCCTTCAGCTGCAGAACATCAAAGACGCTTGCTGCACTTTCCTCAGAGAGAGGTAAGGGGTCTTTCGCCTGCGCTGGCTGCTCCCCAACAGCAGCAAGGGTTTGGTCATCTGTGCCTGGCTCGGGAGGGAGCGGGATGTCTCCTGCCGACGCGATAAGGAGGTCTGGGTCTCCCGAAACTCGCCGTTCTCATTGCCTAAAACATAACTTATCTGGCTTCACAGAATCATTAAGGTTGGAAAAGACCTCTAAGATCAGCACGTCCAACCATCACCCCAACACCCCCATGCCTGATAAACTGTGTCCCCAAGTGCCACATCCAGACGGTGTTTGAACCCCTCCAGGGATGGGGACTCCCCCACTGCCCTGGGCAGCCTGGCCCAAGGCCTGACCACTCTCTCAGCACGGACATTTTGCCCGATCTCCAAGCTGAACCTCCCCTGACGCAGCTTGAGGCCATTGCCTTTCGTCCTGTCGCTGGTTCCTGGGGAGCAGAGACAGAATCACAGAATCACAGAATCACAGAATAGTAGGGGTTGGAAGGGACCTCTGTGGGTCATCTAGTCCAACCCCCCTGCCGAAGC